GGACCATCAGTTGGTACTGAAGATTATCCTTGAACCTAATACCTAATTCAAACGCTTCCATNTCTTCCATGGTCGCGTGGTCGGAAAAAGGCTGTAGATGTAACCTATTAGGTTGGTCCTGAATTCAGTTCTTAGTGGAAATGCAAGTAATACCTACAACTGAAAAAAAAAACGGTTTTTAAATTTATCTGACGCTTGTGTACAATATGACTAGTTTATTGAAACTTGTTGGTGATCTAAATAAATAAATATCTGAGCCACTTCCAATTGCTTTACCAGTATGGTGACGGCACCAATCATGGACATGTTAAGCGCACTAAATTACGAATTTCGTTTAAAAATTGGATGTTTTTCACGATACCAAAATAGTGATTTTTTTCGGCACTCAAATACATGAGGAACATTTAAATAAAACCAAAAATCCTGTATGTTTAATGTATAATTAATAAAAAATATAAATTGAAATTTACGAAATCACCATTGATGGACATCAAAAATTCAGTAATGGACACCCAGTCATGGACATGGACCCAATTATACATGGTGGAATTTTGTAATGCCACCTGGAGGGAAAGTACTCTTAATATTGTAGATAGAAAAAAATTCTCAAAGAAAACATTCCTTTATTTTTGTAAAGAAATAGAACTGCATTCAAAGATTTCCAAAAATTTGCTTGCTACATCCAGGAATCGAACCAACTAAAATCTGTTAAAAATTATACCCTGTATTTTTATTGCATCGATCGTTAGGGTTAAGTATAATGATGAAATCTCTCTAACAAACTTGATAAATCAAATGAAAGGAAAACCATGAAATCTTAAATTATCTTAATTATTTACAGAAAATTGTATCTTCTTCTTCTTCTTTTCGTGTCGACAACAAACCTACACAGTGTCAGCCCAAAACTCCGCCACAAGAGTGGCGTTGTCAGTAGCACTCATCAAATCCTCCTGAGTGCAGTTGCTTGGGCACTCAGGGCATGACATCAGGTGCCTCATCGACTGGGGAACAAAACCGCATCTGCACTCCATGTTCAAGCCATCCAAGAATCTCCACCTGGCCNGCTTCCATGGTCGCGTGAAAAGGGTTTAGATGTAACCTATTAGGTTGGTCCTGAATTCAGTTCTCAGTGGAAATGCAAGTAATACTGGTAATACCTACAACTGAAGAAAAAAACTGTTTTTAAATTATCTAACGCTTGTGTACAATATGACTAGTATATTGAAACTTGTTGGTGTTCTAAATAAATAAATATCTGAGCCACTTCCAATTGCTTTACCAGTAGGGTGACGAATTTCGTTTGATGTTTTTGACGATACCAAAATAGTGATTTTTTTTCGGCACTCAAATACATAAGGAACATTTAAATAAAACCAAAAATCCTGTATGTTTAATGTATAATTAATAAAAAATTAAATCAAATTGAAATTTACGAAATCACCATTGATGGACATCAAAAATTCAGTAATGGACACCCAGTCATATTATTTATTGCACCGCCTTAGTCTCTCTACTCGACCTGTGGTTGACTGGCAGAGAATGCCACTGTACAGTTTTATGTGCAAAAGTATAAATAAAGAAAAATAAAAAGAGCCGTGGGGATTTCTCCATAAAGTACTTTTTAGTTACTAGATATGTAAGTAGTTGCCTGGATTAAAATGTAGGTGGTAGGTATTAGATCTGATTTCAGATTTTGATTTTTAAAATCATAAAATGGTTGGCTAGCCGCGTGCAGCCAAATGAGTGCACCCGTGTAACGCAAACCGAAGCTAAGATTAGAAGCCATTCACCCAGTTAAGTATGCAGCGGAATTCAGCGGTCAACGCAAGAACAATTATATCTTTGGACTGGACCAGAATCGCTCAAATACAATCTAGTGTCTAAAGGTCGCGACCCGCGATAAATGGGATCGAAAACAACGAATGACAGAGGCTATCGCAGCATTGCGTGGGCTCCGCCGCGTGCGCACAGCGTCCCGGGCTCCCGGCAGCCGCGAGCCAGGGCTCCGCTCCACATTACTGGCTTGGCTTGGGCTACCCAATTACTATTGTAGTGTTTTATTTAATAAAACATTGATATAGCCACGTGTGAACGTTTGTCCATTCTATCTTTTAAATGTTGATGCACCACTTGCCTACAAAATGTTCATCAATATTTACCTAGATACGATACGTATATTCAAACTTAAAGAAGAAATACGGTATTTACTCAGGAATTATGAAGATGGAGGAGTGTCGTATAACAATGAGTCAGGTTTGCTGACAGCCACAAACACGACTTCTGCCGGCGGAGACGGTTAACTCCTGTGTCATCATCACACTGACACCTGCCACGTCGTTTGTGGCTTCATCAATGTTTCGTTTACCCTACGGCATCGGCATGTAGGCTACTTAGGTAGGTATCACGATATTATTCCATCCGCTTCATCTCTACAATAAGTGTCTCTACAATACCTACTTAGTAGACTTTAACTTGGCGCTCTTTCCTGATAAAAAGCGGCGAAAAAATCAAACATTACAGTGAATTTATTTATAAATATTATTTAACCAAGACCGGAGATAATACTAATGATGTCAGAATTATTATTGAACTATTTACATAATTTATAATACTTAAGTACTTGCATTGTATACATTCAATTATCTTATTTGTTGAAAACAAGTTTAGTTGCTAATTTAGTGTTATGGTCCCTTGACTTTTTAGCAAACAAAAAACGGTAAATATTAATAAAAATAAATTGATAAATAAGTAGTTACATAGCTCATAAAATTGATTAGAGAGTTAGGGTGAGTTGCACCACCTAACTTTGACCGTAACTAATAATATAATAAATAATAAATAATAGCTTTATTTCTATTAAGTAGTACAGACTTAACATTTTCAGCGGCTTCTGCACTAAGCTCACGCTTGTATCGCAGCTGCCAAACTATAACGATAACCGGTGCTTTTTGTATAAAGTTTGACAGATTTTTGACGTTTGTCAAAGTTAAAGTAAGATGGTGCAACCCAGCCTTAGTGTAGTACAATACGAGTAATACTGGTATAAATATAATTTTCAGCCATAGGACGTACGTCCACTGCTGAACATAGTGATAGGCCTTCTCCCCCAATGATTTCCATAATGTTGACCGGTTGGTAGCGGCCTGCGTCCAGCTCCTTCCTGCCACCTTTATGATGTCGTCGGTCCACCTTCCGTCCCATGTTCCGTTTTCCGGTACGCGACCTCCACTCCAGAACCTTGTTGCCCCATCGGCCGTCAGTTCTGCGTACTATGTGCCCTGCCCATTGCCACTTCAGCTTGCTAATCCGTCGGGCTATGTCAGCGACTTTAGTTCGTTTACGGATCTCGTCATTTGTGATTTGATCGATTCTTTGTAAAACGAGCATGTAATTATGTATTCTAGCAAATAAATTATTGAATTTGAATTTGATCTCGTAAAAACACACTGAGCCTATGATCAGGGCTATCCCTTCACGCTGTGCAATTTTGATTTCTCTACCATACTTAATGTATAGTGCAGATTTTTTTTATGTGACAGTAGGCAAACGAGCAAACGGATCGCCTGATGGTAAGTGATTAGTGATTACCGTCGCCCATAGACACCCGCTATCCCAGGGAGTTATAGGTGCGTTGCTGGCCTTTAAGTGAAGATACGCTCTCTTCTTGAAAGTTTGCAGGTCGTATCAATTCGGAAACACCGCAGACGACAGTTCATTCCACAGTTTGGTTGTACGGGGCAGGTAGTTTCTAGAGAAACGTACTGTTGTGGACTGCCAACTATCTAAGTGATGGGGATGGAGGTGCTGATATACCTACGTTTAGGTTGACTGACAGTGTTACAGATCAAATTTTGTCCGCGACTTTGTACGCGTGGATCCCGTTTTACCCCCTTAGGGGTGGAGTTTCGTAAAATCCTTTCTTAGCGAATGCCTACGTTATAACATCTACCTGCATGCCAAACTTCAGCCCGAGCTGTCCAGTGGTTTGGGCTGTGCATTGATAGATCACTATGTCAGTCAGTCAGTCACCTTTGAGTTATATTTAGAAAATACCCTACTTTGCAAATAAAATATTTGAATTTGAACATTTACCGGTAGGTACATACCTAGATAAAATACAGGAAAAAGTTCATTATCCTACTCGACTACCTAATTATGTGTATTATTATAGCATGCAAATAATAATAAACAAAAATAAATTATCAATGATAACCAATAATAATAAGTTTTGACTAACTAATTTATACTTGCAACTTGTTATTTGCTCTTAATTAAGTAGGTAACATGTGCTTGCGGTCCCAGTTTAGATCGTGGTGTGGTAATACCTACCACAGAATAATAGTCCTTCTTGGTTAATACTCATTGAGTTGAATGAACTTGAGTGATGCTAGTAGGTATTTTGACAAGGCAACTAAGTAAACGCACGATCTTGGGGAGGTCATTAGATGTAGATCGCAGGAACAAGAGACGTCCCCCTGCACTGCCTTGCGATATTATTAATTAACTGGCTTTCCGCCCGCGGCTTCGCCCGCGTGGAATTTTGTCTGTCACAGAAAAACTTTATCGCGCGCGTCCCTGTTTCAAAAACCGGGATAAAAACTATCCTATGTTCTTTCCCGGGACTCAAACTATCTCTATGCCAAATTTCATCAAAATCGGTTGCGAGGTTTAAGCGGGAAAGCGTAACAGACAGACAGACAGACAGACAGACAGACAGAGTTACTTTCGCATTTATAATATTAGTTGGGAAGTTGGGATTATTCCCATTGCCCTCTCTCTCACAATCTACATGTGGCTTAAGGTCTTGACCGACCATTTAAAATTTTATTATATTTTTTTATTTATTTATTTTCTAAATTATTTGGATTTAAACAGACACCTAGGCGGTAGAGTGGAACAGAACAACGGCATGCATCGCGGCACCCACCAGCCCGCCAGGGGCACACCAGGGGCGCCAGGGCGGCCGGCTGGAGCGGCGCGGGCGCGGGCGCGTCATCCCGCGCTCGCCAGTCGCGTCGCGACGTCCGCAGCCGCCGCCCGCTCGCCCGCGCACGCGCTCGCATCGGCGCCGCCGGCTCCGCAACATGCCACGAAACGGTCAGTGAGACAAACAACAACAACTTCTCCGAACTATTTAAAAAAAAACCCCAAAGCTCTATTGGAAACGTTGTAACACTGTTGAAATAAAAATATCTAATTACGACCAGCCAAAAACATGCGATAACACTTTTTGCTCCCGGACGTTTAACAATTTTTTATACGAAAATAATATTGTATCTATCTTATAATGTGTGATCCAGAATTAGCATGCGACGAGTATGCGCACGACCGCTCCGCGGTTTTTCACGATTATTCGTACACGTTTGTATTTTATTCGAGTGTTCGCGCCGCGCCGCATAATTTGTTTAGGTGCTTCAACAAGGACTATTGACTTACGCTTTAATTATGTACATATTTATGACATCAAATCGTTCATTAAAATAATGTCCGTTAACGATCACATAATCAATTCAATATTTAAAACTCATATCACTTCGCTGGAGTTGTTGCGACAGACAAAGGTCACCGAGAAAAAATTGAAACAACTTTTACACGACAAACAAACAATAGCAATAGTTAGTAATCGTACTACGTATAATCAGTTGTGCACGCACAGACTAACATTTTCAATACCGAAACTGAAACAAAATTGTTATCATATCTTGCGGAACAGCGATTTGGAAATGTTGTATTAAGTACATAATCCCTATTTAATTTCTTTGAGTTCTTACACTATAATAAACGTCGAATGCTTTAAATACCAATAATCGAGGTAGAGTTTACTTACTTACATTTTAATTAAAACGTACCTAGTATTTTATTGGAATATTGGGAAACAAAGTGATTGTAAAATATTGCGGTGAATCTAATATGTATGTAACTATCTAGTATTGTCTAGTATAATAACGAATGAACGGAGAGAGACGTCTTGAAGTCGTGTTTTCCATTCCGGTCCACACCCCGACTAAAAATACAAAACTCATCTTTTGATGTTAGAATCGGTTAAAATAAGAATACACTGCGCCCGTGGCTGCGCTTGCGTGACGCGTGCGCAGATAACCGAATCATGTCAATAAATAATATCGGCCTGAAGACCGCTCCGCCGCGCGCTGGCGGGCGCGGGCCGTGCTGCTGGCGAGCAGGACGCGTCTTCTTTAGTTCTTTACGTACGAGTAAGATAGCACCCACTCGCCCACCGATAACCTCTTCAATATCCCAATATTGACGTAACTTGCAATAATTTATCGACTTCAAATAAATCATAGCCCACCCCACTATTTGCTAGCATATTTATCTTCTTACAAATTAAATAGTGCTATGCAAATACTGTACTAATAGGTGGACCAGTTATAACGGTCTTAAATAGCTTTAATATACGGTGTAAATTTGAATTTCGATAACCTATCGGATTCGGAACTTCCTACCTTATCGGTTAGTTGGTGTTCAAAAATAACCGAACTTATGTACGTACATAAAACCTTGGTAACAATCCTTCCTTAAACCAGAGCAGCTAGGGCAAACATGAAACTACTAACATATTGGTATAAGTATGGAATCAAAAACTACCGCCAACTAAGAACCGCAGACTTAGTACCTACTTTACTATACCTTTTTAGTATAATAGAATAGTGGATCGGACAAATTATTTTGGTATAGGATAGTGCCGGTCCCCCATTAAAGTTATAGTAGAAACGAATTTAAATCTACTAATAAATATTTTAATAATGTATTAAATGGCGAAAAATTGAAAAGACAACCTGCTCAGCCCCGCAGACGTCAACGAACGTACTCAAAGGTTAAATAACAACAACGCACGCATCTTCCTCGTAGTAGGTACTCGCGAACTTTGTATTTCAGTGAGTACTACCATATTATTATTCTGTGGTACTACCAACTTAGATTCGTAAGCACTCGTTATTCCTACTTAAAAACGCGATCTGTACTTCACGAGTACCATCGAGGTATCAGATAGAGTCTTTTTGTTAGAGCTACTTTGAAATTCGGCGGCTATAATTATACAACTACAAGTAGTGACAAAAAAACTGTGGCCTTTGTTTTGTGACCTCTACAAGTTACCAAATGAATGTGTAGATCAAAAAAAACTTTTAACAACACGCTTATTGCTACGAACATCGTATCGATATTATATTTTTATTGATTTAAAATATCTTCACAATTTTATTGTACATGTATTGTGTACATAAGGTAGGTATTTACCTTGAGGTGCTGTTGTCTTTGCATTATAGGCTTAGGCAGTCATTCGAAGTGCGTTGAAGTCTTTTGTATGTTGCTACTGCATCGACGCTAATTATTGCTGTTTTTTTATTATTAATGCAAGCAATATTTTTTTTTACAATCGTGAGCAATCACACGTGTTATAATTAGATACTGTAGAGATAACAAAATCAGAAATGATGTCGCTACAGATTGTTGTTGTGAACTTGTGAGGAGGTGTTGATTGTTGCGCACTTAATGCAAATTAGGTTCCTACCTATAATTCGAAAAGGTTATAATACGACGCAGATGACTAAAGTGTCCGCCACCGCATTCCTAATCGCTATTATTGTACATGATATATGCGATATCGCTGTACCAATAGAAACGAGTTTATTTGCATCCAACCTTTACAAATTTAAATAAAATAACTAGATCTATCTTAGTAAAGCGACAACATTTTAAATGATGAATAGATTACAGGTTATTTGATCAAACAGAAAATGTAGAGAACTTCTCAAATACAGGCTTTCTATAAAATTGACGAACTGTTTAAAATTTAATTGACACTGAGGTATACTCACTATTTATTTGACATCAACTCTACATATATTATTAATCTATTATAGGACATGATTTGTATTTCATTCGTTCGTTCGTTTCAGCCGAAAAACGTCCACTTATTTTTTTTTTGTATTTATTTGTTATTTATTCTGCAATTGACTATTTTAATAATCTGTATTGACAATTTCACAACTTGACATTTAATGAATAAAAATGAAACCCGTTTCGCGTTGTCACGGCATCACGTGTGAACGGCTGAACCGATTTCGATAATTCTTTTTTTTTTAATGTTTGTGGAAGTCCAAGAATGGTTCTTACGGAAAAAAATATTAAGAAAATATCTACGCTAAGGCGGTACGAAGTTCGCCGGGTCAGCTAGTATTAAATAAAAAGGTATGATCTTATACTACTTTTCCTACAGGATCAATATCAAATTCTCAAAAAATATTATGTACATCCCCCATAAATGATGATTACTGATGATAATATTCTTATTGTTTCGTATGGAAAGGTATTTTTTTTATAACGAGTATAGCTCTTTGTTCTAGTTGTTTCATTTGAACAGTAGAATCAAATCAATCATTTTTGTTTGATCAAACATACTTATATTCAACCCCTAGCATTATTGTGTTAAGGCCTGATTTTTCAATCGTTGGATAACTTTTAACTGAAGAATAAGTTTGGCATATTGACAGTTTCAGTATGGGAAATATGTCAAAATGACAAATTTATTCTTCAGTTAAAAGTTATTTGATGATTGAAAAACTGGCCATAAGACAAATTAATAAAAAGTTAAAAAAAAAATAACGTAACTTACATCAGTTTTTAACCGACTTCAAAAAAGGAGGAGGTTATATGTTCGACTGTATGTATTTTTTTTTTCTATGTATGTTCACCGATTACTCCGTCAATTGTGGACCGATTTTCAAAATTCTTTTTTTGTTCGATAGGGTACACTTCTGAGGTGGTCCCATTGTCACCAAGTTAGGATCTGATGATGGGATCCTAGGGAAATCGAGGGCAACCCTCAAATTTTATAGGCACGTATATCGTTTTTCAAACTTTTTCTTAACTTATTCAAGTATTTGCTCCTGGAAATTATCATCTCATATTGATGAGCTGATGATAGAAGGTAAAACTCCTTAATACTTAGGAATTGGAAGATAATTCTTTTAATTTTATAGATAAGTATAGTTTCTAANAAGGTATTTTTAGGTTTCCTATATGGTAACCTGTATTTTGTAGGGAATATTATTTTACACTAGACATGAAGAATATGGTCTCAATGTACTGCCTACCTCAGTGGTAACATCAAGGTAATAATTAGTTAACTAAAAAGCAAGAAATAAGTAAAATTTTATAAAAAAAAAATAAAACCGACTCCAAAAAACCTACACTAAAAAGTATATTGATACTTTTGGAGTCGGTGCAGGCAAACTTTACATGTTTCATAATCTTGGCACCGACTCCAGAAGTATCAATCATGGTATACCTACATAAATATTAATTCGTCCTAATAAATAAGTAGGTAATTAGTAATTATTTTTCTACTTTTTAGTGTAGGTTTTTTGGAGTCGGTTTTTACTCTCACCTAAATGGTTCCACCTCAACAACCTGAAGTCCTTAACAGCTAACAGGGCTATTATTTACTTAGTTTTATCGGATCCAGTTTGAAGCTTTTCTAAGAGATAAAATTAAAATTGATGTTACCGACTTAGATTTAGATTTATTTATTTATCAGTAAAACGTGATGATGTTCCTTCATTACTCTATCACGAAACAGAACTTTTGTTACTTCGGTTGTTTGACGTCAATAAGCTTGAGCATGGTTGATCGAGTAACTGTTTGCCTGCCCCGGCCAGACGAGGACGGAGGTGGAGGCAGGGGCGCGCGCGCGTGGGTGGTGCGCTGGTGGCGCGCGCTGCTGGCCGAGCTGCTGGCCACGGCGCTGCTGGTGCTGCTGGGCGTGGCCACGCTGGTGGTGGGCCCCGCGCCGCTCACGCACCCCGCGCTGGCCTTCGGCTTCGTGGTGCTCATCAACGTCGTGGCCTTCGGGCCCGCCTCGGGCGCGCACATGAACCCCGCCGTCACGCTGGCCGCGCTCGTCTGCGGCAAGATCGCCTGGGCGCCCGCGCTCGCCTACGCGGTGGCTCAGGTACGCTCATGTTGTCCTACTTCACCATCATCATCATTTCAGCCGTAACACGTCCACAGCTGAACATAGGCCGGTTGGTGGCGGCCTGCATCCAGCGCCTTCCCGCTACCTTTATGAGGTCGTCGGTCCTCCTTATGGGTGGACGTCCTACGCTACGCTATCCGGTACGTGGCCTCCACTCCAGAATCTTGCTACCCCATCGGCCGTCAGTTCTGCGTACTATAATATGTCTTGCCCATTGCCACTTCAGCTTGCTAATCCGTCGGGCTATGTCAGCGACTTTAGTTCGTTTACGGATCTCCTCATTTCTGATTCGATCTCGTAGAGAAACACCGAGCATAGCCCTCTCCATAGCACGTGTGCAATGTGCAATTTTGAGCTTATTTATCAGGCCTATATTAAATTAAGAGGCCACGTTTTCGAGCCGTATATCATTACTGATTGAAGACTTTCGTCTTTAGGCAGAGGTCTTATTTACTTACATAAGATGAAATAGACGGTCAAGTTGAAGCGAGCCGCATGATTGCAGGAGCGGCCATTTTATTATTAATTACTACTTGTGTACTTACCTACTCATACCTAAGCAACACACACTTACTACTTGCACAACATAAGGCTTTCTTTAATCACACTATAGAAAGAAACACAATCTTGGTCGGAACTACTGTTGAAGAAGGGCAGTAGTAGGGTAATCCAACGTGACCTCAGCCTCACCTCCCCGTAAGGTCCTTTTCACACGTCCCGGTTGCCGGCTAACCGGCGCCGGGTATCCGGTGGTGAAGTGTATCGGCATGGTACGTAGCTTTCACATGTTCCGGCGTAATTAATCCGGCATGCCCATACACTTCACCACCGGGTACCCGGCGCCGGATAGCCGGCAACCGGGACATGTGAAAAGGGCCTAACTCGCTCGTGACGCTGACGGTGCCGCCCGCTGCAGATGCTGGGCGCGACGCTCGGGTTCGGCGCGCTGCTGGCGCTGGTCCCGACGGCGGCGGCGCCCGCGGGCTGCACGCGCTCGCCGCTGGCGCCGGCCGCCGCCGCCGCCGTGGAGGCGCTGCTGACGGGCTCGCTGGCGCTCATCGCGGCCGGCGTGTGGGCCGAGCACGACGAGCGCCGCCCCGACCGCTCCGTGCCCATCAAGTTCGGGCTCGCCATCGCCGGGCTCGTCTACGCTGGGGTGAGTGGACGGAGCCGCAGCCTGAGCACGATCTCATGGCTGATGGATTGCCGTGACATTAATATCTATAACCGCAGTCTACGATTCGTTGGCCTCTGTGCACCATGAAACGTAGACGTACTCGTAGGTATATCGGGTGGCTCATTGGCTGGACTCGTCTCGAGTTTTATTACTTAATTAATTTTTAACTTTCGCGTTGACCTAATTGAATTAATTTAAACAGGTTTTATTACTTATTTTACTGTTTGGCTTTGTACCAATAATGGTTTATTTAAAGTTAATAGGTAATTTAGGTATAAACCTATTAACTTTAAATAAACCATATTTTAATAGACCATTAAGTTAAAATAGGTACCTATTAACTTTATGATTTGGACATTGAGCCTCTGATTGTAAAGGTCCTATGTTAAACATGATCTATGTTACAGTCAAAACCGCTTTGATTTTTCCAGTTAAAAGTGGTTTTGACCAATAAGCGTGTTAGTCAAAACCACTTTTGAGTGCAAAAATTTATTTAGGTAACCGACCGAAGAAATTGATAATCTAGGTACTTATCTTTTACCTGACGAATACCTAGATTTCTTAAAAGTAATACCTAGGGTAGGTGTGATAATTTTGTATGCACAAATCACAAAAATGTTACACTTTAAAATGGTTTTACACTAGGGTTTCTGATTTCTCGACTTATTTTTTTTCTCGAGTTTCGGGAATTCTCGAGGCCAAAGTCTCGAGTTTTCTCGGGTCTCGAGTCTTTTAATTAAAACTGTTGAAATCGGTTGAAATTTAATAAAAACACGGGTTTTCATTAATGTTATAATGTGTGTGGGTTATAATCAATGATACTGTAAAGTTTCAACAAAATCCGTTTAGTAGTTTTTGCGTGAAAGAGTAACAAACATCCAGACATCCACACAAACTTTCGCATTTATAATATTAGTAGGATAATTATAACTTAGTAATTAACTAAAGGAACAAAAGTCATAAAGTCGCGTGTACTTTAAGGATTAATAATCATAAATATCTGGAGCTCCAATTGAATCACTTGTTTTCCAAAGAACACAAGTCCAAATTAATGGAAAAATTACGATAGTAAACCTGCATTTACAAACAAAAAAAAAACATTTAAATAAATTTTTAAACTTAAAGATAACGACTTGAATAAACGTATTTACGAGTACCTAAACTAACAGATAGTTAACAAAAAAATTTCAGTCTTTAAATCAGTCAGTTATACAAACATAATAAAATATAGCATACTCGTAGGTGATCATTATTAGTTTCGGTTAAGATCATTACTTGCAAATCAAATTAGTTAAAAAAAGGAAAGACTAGGCCAGTCTAAACGCAACATTAACCTATTAAATAATTAAAATCTTACTTTTGTATAAGAAAATAGGCTTTCAAGAATATTAATGCTTCAAAATCGAAACTCGAGAATTCTCGAGCTCCGGTAATTTTTTTCTCGTCTCGAATGAAGCCAAATTTCTCGAGTTTTCTCGAGTTCGAGAAAGCTCGAGCAGAAACCCTATTTTACACACACACTTTTGATGATTTCCAAGTAATTTTCACTAATCATACAGACTTTGTATAAATTTTGACAGATTGGTAGAATTTTATATCGGGCGAAACTATTTTTGACTAATTTTTGCACTAAAAAAATCAAGTGCTTTTGACTAACACCCTTGGTCAAAACCACTTTTGACTGATTTTTGCAGTCAAAAGTGGTTTTGACCGATTAAGAGTTTTAACTGTAACATCTACCTACATAGACACTTCAAAGGTCTTAAGTAGGTACCTACCGATTCCTACTTCTAATTAATTGGTGATTATTAATATTTGTATTGAATTAATAATTTCAGGGTCCACTAACAGGCGCCAGTCTCAACCCAGCCAGAAGCTTCGGACCAGCTCTCATACACGGATTCTGGAAGGATCATTGGGTAAGTGCGATCTCTAAGTAAAATAAAGACAATAAAAAGGAGTTTCTCCACATCTTCGTGCACAAAATATATACATAAGTAAGTAATAGGTATTTTGATGGTATTCTAAAAACAATAAAAAAGAGATTGTCCGTAATAAATTGCAACAATCAGCCTACATTTCCTCATGGCAGTCAAGCTTGCTGTGAGCCTGTTCGGCAGTATCGAGGTTTGACTTAGAAAACAACAAATGTAAAGTGGAAATCGTGCGAAACTACTAACTACTAACCCAAAAAAACTTTTTTAAAAACAAGCTTATTTAAAAACAATTATTTTTTCCTTTTAGTACAACTGCATTACAGGATAAATCTTGTTTTTTAAAAAAAAAATATTATACTTTTATTTTACACTATAATTCATCATTTAGCACCAAAGTTTTCGGGAAGTCGAATCCAACGAACCCAAACTCGATAAGTTTCCGCCGTTTCGTTTAGGAGTTCATATGGCCACCTCCTGACTCTATCATCAGGACCTTGGACATCATCTAGCACTAAACTGCTCGAAAAAACAAATCCAACGAACCCAAATTCGGTGCGATTCCGTCGTTTCGTTTAGGAGTTCTCATGGCCACCTCCCGACTCCATCATCACCAGCTCAATGGTACTATAATATTACATTGTCATCTTATTTACCTACATAAGTATACCAAACTTCAGCTCAATCGGTTGAGGAGATGTGGTCTTAAATTCAGTTGCAAGATTTGTCCCACCATACTAACAAGTGAAGTCAATATAAAGCATGTAATATTAATGACGATCGTGCGGTGTTCCAGGTGTACTGGGTGGGCCCGCTGGGCGGCGCGGCGCTGGGCGCGGCGCTGCACCGCTGGGTGCTGACGCCGCCGCCGCCCGCGCCCGCCGCGCTGCGCCCCGAGCAGCTGCCGCTGCAGGACAAGGTCTGAGCTCGAGCCCGCTCTCCGCTCCGCTCCAATGTTTGTTTCTACCCGTTTACATCGACTCAAGCTCATATTGCACAGTACGGAACTACTCAAAATATTTATACAACCGCTGACAGGAAACTGCAAAATTACATTTTGGGTGATGTGAAATACGCCACTGACCCGAATTCTCTTCTCGTGCGTCTGAAAATCCGGGAAGGTGTAGCTTAAGTGTGACTCCACTGCGCCGCTCGACGCTCACTCATTGCGTCGCAGCGGTGAACGAGTGAAACGATCATGGTGTTATGTAACCTAGTTAAACGACGTTGTAAATATATTGTATTTTTTACATAAAGTTATTAATGTGTTTATTTTACACTTTTTTAGTGTTTCAGGTACCTTTAATCCAATTTAGTTAAGCAATAGGGCTTAGGGTGGAAAAAGAAATATTATACCTCATAAAATGCTCACTAGTCCAGTCATTTGGTAGTTTTACCTGGAAAGTTTTCCGGGAGTAATGAAAATTGGTATTTATATAGATTTCGATGTGGTCTTTACGAATGTTTTCCATGAATAATTGTAAATAAGAATGCAATTTACGAGTTTATTTTAAGATATTATTATTCAATAAAAAATATTACACTAATATTGTGTGGCTGGCATACATTTAGTATGGAAGCTTGAAACGTTGAATTTTCGGACAGATCCTGTTTATTCTGTAACCTATTATTGGTTTGGTACCGTTTGAAAGAGCTCGTGAAGCACTTTCAGGATCAGTAACTAGTTTTTTGATATCTTGTATAGTTTAGAAATAATAGAGTGAGATCACCACAGAGATCACATATTGTTTTCACCCCGTATAAATACCAATTTTCATTACTCCCGGAAATTTTCCAGGTAAAGCCATTATTTTGTACCAAATGACTGGACTACACTAGGTACTTGCACAAATAACATAACATGACATACATGAAAGTTGTGGAAGCAATAAAGTTTGTTCGTAAAAATGTTATGTAGTTTTTTTGTATGTACCTACTTCATAGACTGGCCTGCACAATCCCCTGACTTAAATCCTATTGAGGATGCCTGGGATATGCTTCAGATAAGAGCTCTAAGGAATTTCCCTGAAGATATTGTGCATGAAAACCAGCTTTTCTTGCATCTTAGCTGGACTTGGGACAGTATTCCACAACAGGATATTGACACCCTTGTTTTGAGTATGCAGAACCGCTGCAGATGTGTCAAGGAGTCTTAGGTGGATCAACGGATTATTAATTTTAAGTTTTCAACATTTTTTATAAAAAAAATAGACAGGCTATTAAACAAGCTTTATTTTAATGTGTAGGTGTCTGAACAAAAAGTTAATAGAATTTTAGTTATTTAGATTTAATTGAATATACCATGTTGATGTGTGTATTTGGTATTATCAAGAGATGAGTGCCATGACTGAGTAGTACTACATTGAATTTTTGGATAGATCCTGTTTATTCTGTAACCTAATGATGATACCGTTTTAAATAAATAATAAGTATAAGGATAGAGCTCTTGAAGCACTTTCAGGATCAGTAACTAGTATTTTGATATCTTGTATAGTGGTATAGTTTAGAAATAATCAAGTGAGATCACTTAACATTTCCTTTCCAGCCTGTATATTACATAATTAAAAATAACCCTAGATACGCCAATGGTTGTGGTTACTCATTAATTATGTCAAACACAATTTTTACTTTCGGCCAAATCGGAGTTTATTAATTAATTGTTCCAAGCTTAGCACAACTTTTCAGAATGTGTGCCATGGAGCTTATCTTAGTATCAAATGACGAAGGGTCCTCTCGTACTATATGTATAGTTTGTATGCCTATACGGCAGATCATAGTGGAACCTATTAACCCCTAACAACTTTGTACTATGATAATGACGAATAAATTTAATTTTCATTTTTTAAACATTTGTAAGAGAATTTATATTATTTTTGTTATACATTTTTATAGATTACTTGAGTCGTACCGGGAAATAAATTTATACGAATGAAACATTACATTAGGGCGATAAATTTATTGAACATAATCGTATTATTTAACAGACTGATACTCCACGATATAACCTAAGGGCACACACGGGCGGCCTCGCGCCGCTCATAACCGCTTGAGGATGCGGCGGCGATCCTTCTCCTTGTCTTTGGCCGCGCGCTGTCCCGCCGCTGCCGCCGCCGCCGCCGCCGGCCGGCGCTCGCGCTTGGCGCACGGGCCCTCCTCGCCGCCGCGGGACGCGCTCGGCGCCTGCTCCGCGCCGCCCGCCGCCGGCCCGTCCTGAAACCACAGATCACACTTATAGTTCTGGCCGACGCGTCCTCGGCGTCGGTGTCGGTGTGTGGGCCGCGTGGCTCGCACCTGCTGCTTGGCGGGCTCGAGCGGGCGCGCGTGGATGTCGGCCAGCAGCTTGGCGCGCGCGAAGTAGTCGTCGTAGCGGTCGCGCAGCAGCGCCGCGGCGTCGGCGTTGAGCGCGGACTCGGGGTTGGGCGCGATGAGCAGGCACTTGACGGCCAGCAGCGCGTGCTCCAGCCCCAGCTCGGGCCGCCAGTCGCGCTTCAGCGTGTTGACGCACACCTCGCCCGTGGCCGGCGACACGTTCGGGTGGAAGATGCGCGTCAGGAAGTACGCGCGCGGCGGCGCCGCCGGGAACTCGCGGCCCAGCACCAGGCGCACGCGGAACACGCCGCCCGCGTACGGCGTGTCGGCTGCGGGCAACGACACGTCACATCAGACAGGCACTCTGCCCCCCCGGCCCGGTCACCACATCCTTACCTCATAATACGATAATATCAACATCTATTACGGTAATAATAATAATAATAATAAAAATCTTTATTTGGCACGGGACAAAAAAATGACAATTACAAGTATAATAAAAAGGTACACAAAGAAGAAAAAAATAAAAAATAAAAAACAGTAAAATAATCCAGCCAGATCAGTAAAAATCCCGAGCCAAAAAGGCGCCCACTCAGCGATACTCGGGACATAAGTAAATGTCCCGACGCTGATTTTCAGCGAGTACCCTTGCCTAGGCCTCGGCTGTTGGGACCCAAACCCAATAAATGTACCGACTGGTAGAATTTCAAGAAAATTTTACTATTATACTATGATTCTAAATGAATTCCATATTCTAATAATAATTCCAGTCAAGGTGTATCTCCTGTAACCCTGTTTTGTGTTTTCTAAACATCGATGGATGTGACCTTAGTATTTTGTTAGCAAAAACACAAAACTTTGTTTGCTGCGATACTCAGATAACATCCCACACATTGAACACCTGAGTTTGTTGTTATTTTTCGAAGCAGGAGACCCACCTTAAGTGAAATGGTTCCTTTTTGTCTATTGCTGATAGTTCTGTGATGTTAAATTAAAATACAATGGATGTGTGGGCCGGGGAGTCACAGATTTTATGCTCGAGGTCACAGACAATAAAAATGATTGGGTTAATTCAGGTGTATTCATACCTCTAACTAAGGTATCGGGAAAATAGCTTCGCATAATAGACTAGATAGCATACCAAGGGTATTATGATTGTTATGATGATATCAAATTGAAAATATAATTAATTTATTTGTAGCTTAAGGCTGGATTGCACCATCTCACTTTAAGAGTAACTATAACATCAACCGGTGTTTTTTCTATGGAATTTGAGAGATTTTTGAAGGTCAGAGTAAGATGGTGCAACTCAGCCTAAGCCTGTCTAGCGGGAGAGGGCCGCAGCGGGCGGGCGCGGGCGGGAGCGGGCTGGTGGCGGGCACTGACCGGGCCCGTCGATGTGCGCCAGCACGTCGGTGAGGTCGTCGTCGCGCAGCAGCAGCTTGACGCCGGCGGGCGGGTGCGCCGCCAGCCGCCGCAGCTCGCGCGTCACGCCGCGCAGCACCTGCGGGCACACGTTCTCCACGTTCGACATCGCCCCGGCCCCGGCCCCGACCTGCCGAGCGCCGATCCGAGACAGCTCCGCCCGCACCGACTCCTCACATCACCGCACTCGTCCCGCCGCGTTTCGATCCGCTCACACCCTCATGAGATAACTGACTGTTTGAACTGAATTCGATTCTGATACGTTCGAAGCTGCGATCGCGCAGACGATTGGAAACGTGATTTGCGAACTGTTTGCTATCTAAACACACTATCACTATTATATTCCTGCGATGGGCGGATAAATGAACTGAAATCTACGAAAATAATAAATGAAATCAACGAAATCACATTAAAATTATGGGTATCAAGCAAAGAATCCGTTGTGAAACGTCAAACATTGAGTGCATTGTTATGTCATTATTTTTTTTAAATATTATTTTATACATTGAGGACAAGGCGCTTCTATCGTCCAGATTAAACTCGGAAAGAGCTTTAAAAGTTTAGGATCATAATATACATTCCCTCTAAAAGCAACAATTTTTTTAAAATGTTTAGACGACTATTAATGTGTAATAATGGTGGATTATTAACCATTAAATTTTCGTGAACGTGCATGAGTGTGGGCAAATGAAACAAAACAGTGCAACGTGATTCTTCGGATTCTCCCATTAGATAGAAGTCCTAAGAAGGGAAGGGGTATCATCTATCATCCTTCATTAAATCATTTAATTAACCCAAGTCCCATCCCACTTGGTTTCATTTTGTAACTCGTATCAGCTCTAGAGATGGGTAGTGGGTAAAAACCCATTTCACCCGATTGGGTTAAAACTGGGTGATTTGGGAAAAAACCCGGTTTTTACCCATTATCACCCATTCTGGTGGGTGAAAACAAAAATAGCGTTTTTTTTTAAAGTGAGAAGTGGTATTTGTTGCTAAGGGGGTGTTCTAGTGTTACGTAATGCAATCTGGGGGGAGAGGAGGTCTTGAAAAACGTTACAATGCGTTACAGTGGCGGAAGGGCGGTTCGATTTCAAGTTTTTAAGCAGAAGTACTTTGTAGTTGGTGTTGTTATTTGTAACTTTATACCGTAATGTCATCAAAGAGAGAGTTTGGCATCTTTGGCATCCCCCCCTCCATGTCCTTGCCATGATCACAAATAATTGTGTTCCTACTAAATTTCTTCTAAATCGGTTCAACGATTCTTGAAATAACACCATTTCATAAAATAATTGGTCACATCATCATAACGTGATCAATTTTACGATTTGGCCACGATATAAATGCATATTAGTGTTAAATTTGACTTTATACTTATTAATCAATAAACTTAAACGAGAAAAATTCAATAAAAATAAAGAAAAGATACCAATTGAAATAATTATAAAATTATTTGTTTTCACCCGGTGTAAACACCTACGGGTGGAATGAAACGGGTTTTTATTGGGTTTTTACCCTCATGTGGGTTTTTACCCGGGTGGAAACCCATCTCTAATCAGCTCAGCTCATGAGCTCATTTGAGCTCACTTCAAACTTGAAAATGGCACAAATCAAGTCGGCCTCGAAGTGTATTGCCAACATCAAAAAAGAAGGAGAAAATTTTTTCCATCATGACTGTCAAAGTCAAACAAATGTCAATTGATGTCAATTTATTATAATTTGGTGCGTGCGTGCGGCAAAAGTATTAAAATTTTAATTATAAAAAGTAATGAAAAGTTGGTAGGTGGGCCGTTATATCCCAGATCTAGCCATAAACATTGTAGGTAGGTACTCTATGTATTTTTTAAAACATGGAAAAAAATTACAAACGAATTAAAATGGCTTGATTTTAAAATATCGGTGTTCGCTCCAGGAACAGCCACGGTGCGGTGATTACCGGCACGGAGGTATCTGACGTTTACGGACTCGGAAGATGATGGCGAAAATCACGACAAGGAACTCCACAGGCGAACCGGAGCGCACACCAGGAGCGTCGGACGGCGGCACGGCGGAAGGCGGCTTCCGGGTGCGCGTGAACCTGGAGCGGTTCTTCAGCGACGAGCGCGCGCGGGTGCTGCTGAGCGTGCGCGGCGCGCGGCGCGTGCGCTGGCTGGCGCGGCGCCTGCGCCGGCTGTTCCCGCTGCCGCGCCGCCTGGCGCTGCTGTCGCGCGGACACCTGCTGCCGCCCGACGAGCCGCTGGCGCTGCTGCAGCACGACGACCCCGTCGAGTGAGTGGCTGGAACTTCTACACTGTGCACTCGACTACCCCCGTTTCATTGTTACATGTGTTCAAGGCTCAGAACCCGATAAATTTATAAAACCGTTATAGCCCTAAGTACATGAGAACGAAATAATTTCGTCTTTGTTCCTCGAAACCGGTTACATAACATTATTAGCCATTTTTCAGAACCAAGTTTTTGGTTACGTTTTCGTTCTCTACCACAATCAATTGTTATCGGGGCACGGCTGATGTTGCCGCTCCATCGTGTGCTTGTGCCCCGCGCGGCTTTTTTTGGTAAAAGAACCAAATGAATATTGTTTTTACTCTGAACGAAATTTATGCAAAATCATTAATGAACATTTCAATAATGGTATTTTTCAAATCAATTCTGAGCCTTGGTTACATTGCACACAGTGACACTGTTTTCTACTAAATTATTTATTAATTTGGTATGCATTCTAATGCATACTTCATTCTTTGACTGTAACTGTTGAAACCTTTGCTTTATAAAATATGATGGTGTGTACCTAAGTACCATACATGCAAAACAATTCAAAAAATTACTGAATTTATTTTAAAAGAAAACTCATATTGTAACAATGCAGATGCAGGAAGAGTGAAAGTGACATGACTGTGTTGCGTCCCACACTCTGCTGCTGTGCGAGTAGACCTTTATAGCACTAAATGAAATTTCAATCGGTATATCATTTTGTATTACAAAAGACAAAAGTTAATATCAATGTTAGGGACGAATGCCATGGGAAAACATCAATTATACACACAGTGCTGTAGTGTTGAAAAAATCTAGCTAGGATTATAATAAAAACATTTCCTCATAGTCAAATAACATTTATTTACAAATGCATGCAAAAAATATAAAATGTTATATTTTCAGGGTCATTCTGGAAACTGCTGAATCAAATGAAGACACAACTTCAGCCCTCTATGAAACTATAAACAATGGGGAATTTGAAGCATCACCAGTTCAACCTGACCACAAAAAAAGAAAAATACAGGAAGATCTTAATTTAGATAATCATTCAGCTGTAACATGCGGCACGGACTCGTCAGAACCTGTGGCACCGGCCCCGGGGGCCACGAAGGACGCCCAGGCGACGGTCCCGGTGCCCCCCTGGGGGCCCAACGGGCTGTGCGAGCGAACCGCCGCGCCGCTCGTGTCGCGCGTCGTCGCCTGCTCTGAATCCGATGAGAGCGTTTCTCAATCGCAGGAGAATCGTGAGCCCACCCAGGACATACCATCGGATGGCGAACGATTGAAAACGTTAAAAGTGCAAGCCCTGGCCATTCTCGACGAAATCTCGTCGCGGCCGCGCAAGAGACCACGCGTCCGCCGTCGCCGGAGACGCCCCGCGCCGCCTTCTCCGATCGTCAACGTCGAGGTTGATGTCCTCGCAGCGGCCGCCGAGTCGCCGCCTGCAGCGGACGCGGCGGGCGCGGCGGGCGCGGGGGACGCGGCGGGCGAGCTCGTGCTGCGCAACCCCTGCGCCGCGCCGCGCTCGCCGCGCCTGGTGCGCTCGCTGCTCGACGCTGCGTCTGACTGACTTCTCGCGATCTCAATCCTCAAGCCAAAGATATTTAAAACGGCGCATACGAGACTGCTTTATGTTAAGAAAAGACTATTCATTCGTTTAGGATTGGCGAATGAAACATTGTGTTGCTCTTGTAAAGGTGAGTATAGACTGGAGCGTTTCTATGTAATGTGACGTTCTTACGAATGGTACGATACAAGTTAAAACTCGGTTTCTATTAACGGAAATTTTGACATTTAATTTTTGAAGTGAAGTGACGCGGTTCCGGAATCCGATTTGTTGATATTTATTTGATTAGCTTTCAACAATTTTCCAAGTTCTTGCAGTTAATTTATTCACTCACATCGTAATCAGTGCTGAACCTGCCGTCCTGTTGCTGTCCAATGTCTCCCGTGTAGTTAAAAATCTATAATCATGGCATCAAGTAAATGCTCTAGTCTATACTGACCTTAAAGTAGTGATATTTTCAACAAATACGTATTATGTTACAGTCAAAACTCATAATCGGTCAAAACCACTTTTGACTGCAAAAATCAGTCAATCAGTCAGTCAAAAATGGTTTCGCCTGATTTAAAATTTTACCAATCTGACAAAATTCATACAAAGTGTTATGATTATAATTTTCACTAATTATAAGTAATTTCTAAGGAAATCATCAAAAATGTACTACACTACACTGCACTATTCAAAGGCGAAAATCCTTTGTTTGATTAGTGTAATGTCGAAGTATAATGTCGATATTCAGAAGTGTCAGAGTAACAAAGTAGCATTTTATAGCCCTTCTAACTAATAAAATTTTCACATAATAACACTTAAGAGTCATCGTATCATATTATGCCAAATTACTTTTTTTGCAATAATAACTTGAAATAAAATTAGTACTGACAAGCTATTCGGCGGAAACGGTCGTTTCATTAAATATTATTCTTTAATTTCTCTCAGATCTAATTTAGTTTTAGATCTAACTAGCTGACCCAGCGAACTTTGTTCCGCCTTAATGGCAATAAATAAGCAGACTTTTTTTTTAATTTCGAACGGGATAAAAAGTATCCTATGTCCTTCTCCTGGCTCTAAACTACCTCCCTGACAATTTTCAGCTAAATCGGTTCAGCCGTTCTTGAGTTATAAGCGAAGTAACTAACACGACTTTCTTTTATATATATAGATTATAAAACTAAATAGATCTGAAAGAAATTAAGGAATAATATTATTTACCCGATAGTTGACAAAAAAAAAAGTATAAACTACAAATTAAAGTCTAGGTCCACTAACAAACGATAACCGCCAGCGCGCAGCAGCGGGGGGAGGGGCGCGGGGGGCTGCAGCCCTGCGCGCCAGGTACAATGCTACATTTTTCGTAGACGCTCGCGCGTGCTGCGCACGCGCTCGCGCGGTTAGGTTCTAAAACGAACNCGTAATATATTGTTAATCTATTATAGGACATGATTTGTATTTCATTCGTTCGTTCGTTTCAGCCGAAAAACGTCCACTTATTTTTTTTTTTTTGTATTTATTTGTTATTTATTCTGCAATTGACTATTTTAATAATCTGTATTGACAATTTCACAACTTGACATTTAATGAATATTAAATAAAAAGGTATGATCTTATACTACTTTTCCTACAGGATCAATATCAAATTCTCAAAAAATATTATGTACATCCCCCATAAATGATGATTACTGATGATAATATTCTTATTGTTTCGTATGGAAAGGTATTTTTTTTATAACGAGTATAGCTCTTTGTTCTAGTTGTTTCATTTGAACAGTAGAATCAAATCAATCATTTTTGTTTGATCAAACATACTTATATTCAACCCCTAGCATTATTGTGTTAAGGCCTGATTTTTCAATCGTTGGATAACTTTTAACTGAAGAATAAGTTTGGCATATTGACAGTTTCAGTATGGGAAATATGTCAAAATGACATATTAATTCTTCAGTTAAAAGTTATTTGATGATTGAAAAACCGGCCATAAGACAAATTAATAAAAAGTAAAAAAAAAATAACGTAACTTACATCAGTTTTTACTCTCACCTAAATGGTTCCACCTCAACAACCTCAAGTCCTTAACAGCTAACAGGGCTATTATTTACTTAGTTTTATCGGATCCAGTTTGAAGCTTTTCTAAGAGATAAATCTAAAATTAAAATTGATGTTACCGACTTAGATTTAGATTTATTTATCAGTAAAACGTGATGATGTTCCTTCATTACTCCATCACGAAACAGAACTTTTGTTATTTCGATTCTTTGACGTCAATAATCTTGAGCATGGTCGATGGAGTAACGTGAAGTTTGCCTGCCCCGGCCAGACGAGGACGGAGGTGGAGGTGGAGGTGGAGGCAGGGGGAGGGGCGCGCGCGCGTGGGTGGTGCGCTGGTGGCGCGCGCTGCTGGCCGAGCTGCTGGCCACGGCGCTGCTGGTGCTGCTGGGCGTGGCCACGCTGGTGGTGGGCCCCGCGCCGCTCACGCATCCCGCGCTGGCCTTCGGCTTCGTGGTGCTCATCAACGTCGTGGCCTTCGGGCCCGCCTCGGGCGCGCACATGAACCCCGCCGTCACGCTGGCCGCGCTCGTCTGCGGCAAGATCGCCTGGGCGCCCGCGCTCGCCTACGCGGTGGCTCAGGTACGCTCATGTTGTGTCCTACTTCACCATCATCATCACTTCAGCCATAAGTCGTCCACTGCTGAACATAGGCCTCCCCCGATGACCGGTTGGTGGCGGCCTGCATTCAGCGCCTTCCCGCTACCTTTATGAGGTCGTCGGTCCACCTTGTGGGTGGACGTCCCACGCTACGCTTTCCGGTACGTGGCCTCCACTCCAGAACCTTGCTGCCCCATCGGCCGTCAGTTCTGCGTACTAATGTCCTGCCCATTGCCACTTCAGCTTGCTAATTCGTCGGGCTATGTCAGCGACTTTAGTTCGTTTACGGATCTCCTCATTTCTGATTCGATATCGTAAAGAAACACCGAGCATAGCCCTCTCCATAGCACGTGTGCAATGTGCAATTTTGAGCTTATTTATTAGGCCTATATTGAGAGGCCACGTTTCCGAGCCGTATATCATTACTGATAACACACACTGATTGAAGATTTTCGTCTTAAGGCAGAGGTCTTATTTACTTAACAATTTAACATAGATAAAATAGACGGTCAAGTTGAAGCGAGCCGCATGATGTTTGCAGGAGCGGCCATTTTATTATTAATTACTACTTATGTACCTACTTACCTACTTATACCTAAACAACACACACTTACCTACTACTTGCACAACATAAGGCTTTAATCACACTATAGAAAGGAACACAATCATGGTCGGAACTACTGTTGAAGAAGGGTAGTAGACGTAGTAGTAGGGTAATATCCAACGTAACCTCAGCCTCACCTCCCCGTAAGGTCCTTTTCACACGTCCCGGTTGCCGGCTAACCGGCGCCGGGTATCCGGTGGTGAAGTGTATCGGCATGGTACGTAGCTTTCACATGTTCCGGCGTAATTAATCCGGCATGCCCATACACTTCACCACCGGGTACCCGGCGGCGCCGGATAGCCGGCAACCGTGAAAAGGGCCTAACTCGCTCGTGACGCTGACGGTGCCGCCCGCTGCAGATGCTGGGCGCGACGGTCGGGTTCGGCGCGCTGCTGGCGCTGGTTCCGACGGCGGCGGCGCCCGCGGGCTGCACGCGCACGCCGCTGGCGCCGGCCGCCGCCGCCGCCGTGGAGGCGCTGCTGACGGGCTCGCTGGCGCTCATCGCGGCCGGCGTGTGGGCCGAGCACGACGAGCGCCGCCCCGACCGCACCGTGCCCATCAAGTTCGGGTTCGCCATCGCCGGGCTCGTCTACGCTGGGGTGAGTGACGGAGCCGCAGCCTGAGCTCAAGGCTGATGGATTGCCGTGACGTTCAAATCTACAGGGTGGAAACGATAAGTGATCTCACTCGATTATTTCTAAACTACACAAGATATTGAAAAACTGGTTACTGATCCTGAAAGTGCTTCACGAGCTCTTTCAAACGGTACCAATGATAGGTTACAGAATAAACTGGAACTATCCGAAAATTCAATGTTTCCAGCTTCCATACTTAATGTATGCCAACCACAATATTAGAAATGTAATTTATTTTTTTGTTAAATAATAAACTTAAAAAGTCGGTTGAATAAACTCGTAACTTGCATCTTATTTGAAATTATTTGTGGAAAACATTAGTTTATAGGCTTTACTTGCTATAATATGATCAAGAGATGAGTGCCATGGCTGTGGTAGTACTAAATGTATGGAAGATGGAAACATTGAATTTTTGGATAGATCCAGTTTATTTTGTAAGCTATTGTTGATACCGTTGGATAGAGCTCGTGAAGCACTTTTAGGATCAGTAATTAGTTTTGCGATATCTTGTGTAGTTTTTAATATTATGTAATTTTACCAAATGTATGGAAGCTGGAAACATTGAATTTTCGGATAGTTCCATTTTATTCTGTAACCTATTATTAGTACCGTTTGAAAGAGCTTGTCAAGCACTTTCAGGATCAGTAACCAGTTTTTCGATATCTTGTATAGTTTAGAAATAATCGAGTGAGATCACTTATCGTTTCCACCCTGTATAACCTCAGTCTACGATTCGTTGGCCTCTGTGCACCATGAAACGTAGAGGTACTCTTGGGTGTATCGGGTGGCTCATTGGCTGGACTCGTCTCGAGTTTTATTACTTAATTAATTTTTAACTTTCGCGTTGACCTAATTGAATTAATTTAAACAGGTTTTATAACTTATTTTACTGTTTGGCATTGTACCAATAATGGTTTATTTAAAGTTAATAGGTATAAACCTATTAACTTTAAATAAACCATATTTTAATAGACCATAAAGTTAATATACCTGTTAACTTTATGATTTGGACATTGAGCCTCTGGGTGTAAAGGTCCTATATTAAACATGATTTAGGTTACAGTCAAACCCACTTTTATTTTTCCAGTCAAAAGTGGTTTTGACCAAGCGCGTAGATCATTTTGTATTCACAAATCACAAAAATGTTACACTTTAAAATGGTTTTATAACACACCTTAATGATTTATACACACTGCATGAATTTTGTCAGATTGGTAAAATTTTAAATCAGGCGAAACTATTTTTGACTGATTTTTGCACTCAAAAAGTCAAAAGTTATTTTATTTTGACTAACACCCTTGGTCAAAACCACTTTTGACTGGAAAAATCAGTCAAGTGATATTACCAAAGCCATCAGTCAATACCACTTTTTTCACTGACTGATTTTTTCAGTCAAGTGGTTTTGACCGATTATGAGTTTTAACTGTTATATCTACCTACATAGACATTTCAAAGGTCTTAACTACTTCTAATTAATTGGTGATTAATATTTGTATTGAATTAATAATTTCAGGGTCCACTAACAGGCGCCAGTCTCAACCCAGCCAGAAGCTTCGGACCAGCTCTCATACACGGATTCTGGAAGGATCATTGGGTAAGTGCGATCTCTA